TCTTCTTTCAAAAATGGGAATAACAATGTCCCTGCTCATGGGGTTGGTAGGAAGAGTAAATGAGACAATGTTTGCGAAGCACCTCACGTCATGTGTTATTGATAACACCCTGGGTATTAACAGTCGCGTGCTGAGCCTGGCGCGGAGCAGGTGCTCCGTGTCTGGGTACAGAAAGAGGGCGAAGTGCCGCTGCTGCCCTGCGGTCTGACCTGGAAACAAACGCAGCTGCGTTCTCTGCTGCTCTGGGTTGGCTTTCTTCCAAAACCAGCTCGTGACACTCCCACCGAGGATGGAGGTTTTGTCTTTCCTTTTTAGTCTTCCTAAGGCGTTTGATGCAGAAGCCAGAGTGCATACTGGGCCAAGAGAAAGACCACTCGGCTTCAAGGGCATCCGTCTACAATGTATGAGTCTCGTAGGATAAACGGATTTTATTTTTACCTTGTACAATATCAGCAAAAGATACCCAGTTTCCACTTGGCTCCACCCTGCTCAGTGTGGGAAAGGTATTAATGATTCGGAGCAGGGCATTCAACAACCTTGAGTCGCAGAGTGAACGCATTTTTCCTTCTTTACCATCTTTCCTTCCCCTGATGGTGTCTCAGTCCCAAATCGCCAAGACTTTGCCATTTTAGGAATCTCCCTGGTTAACAGAGGGCGGGGCTCAGGCTGCCGGGTTAGGGATTAAATAATACTGTATTGCTTTTATTGTACATATTTTTGTGTTTAACTTCTATCTAGCTCACAGGCTGTGGTGTCCTCTCCTAAATGCCCTCGTGGTCGGGGCCGTGGGCTTGCTCATGGGCTGTGGTGTCCTCTCCTAAATGCCCTCGTGGTCGGGGCCGTGGGCTTGCTCATGGGCTGTGGTGTCCTCTCCTAAATGCCCTCGTGGGCGGGGCCGTGGGCTTGCTCATGGGCTGTGGTGTCCTCTCCTAAATGCCCTCGTGGTCGGGGCCGTGGGCTTGCTCATGGGCTGTGGTGTCCTCTCCTAAATGCCCTCGTGGTCGGGGCCATGGGCCTGCTCAGGGCTGTCGTGTCCTCTCCTAAATGCCCTCGTGGTCGGGGCCGTGGGCCTGCTCAGGGCTGTCGTGTCCTCTCCTAAATGCCCTCGTGGCCGGGGCCGTGGGCTTGCTCAGGGCTGTCGTGTCCTCTCCTAAATGCCCTCGTGGCCGGGGCCGTGGGCTTGCTCAGGGCTGTCGTGTCCTCTCCTAAATGCCCTCGTGGCCGGGGCCGTGGGCCTGCTCAGGGCTGTCGTGTCCTCTCCTAAATGCCCTCGTGGTCGGGGCCGTGGGCTTGTTCAGGGCTGTCGTGTTCTCTCCTCGACAGAAGCTCCTCTCCAGGTGCACAACAGACCCTTCTGCTTCATGAATTATTTCTCTCTCTCCCGCCCTCTCTCCCCGTTTCACTGCTCCAGACTGTTCTGAGATATTGCTCCATGACCTCAGAAGCGTTTGCCTAGAGAATACAAAGTCATTCCTTCACCAAGTTTAATAAAACATTGGACAGGCAGGAGCCCAGGAAAGCATCAATGAAAATACTCGGAGAGAACCTGGTCTCAGAATCTGCAATTGCAGAGTGCTTATGCCACTTGGAAAGCGTGACTGGAGTTTGGACTTTTGTTCTGTTTTGATACTGACCCCCAGCAATGTCCACTGAATAACAGACCTCTTATAAGTGTTGAACTTTTATCACCGTTTCTATCATGGCTAAGATTTATTGGGTGTTTTCTGGACGGTGAACTAGGGAGCGGGTGGCTGTGGACAGAAAGCATCTCAGACATGACCCAGCCGACTCCTCCACCTTCCTAGGAGGCAGCTGAGGCCCAGACCAATTAATGGACTTGCCTGAGGTGACACCACACAGATGCCTAGAGCTGGGACCCCAACCCGGCCTCCCAGGTGATGTTCCTCCATAGTGTCCCCTTCCCAGGCCCACAGGGGTGGGGGCCACTTGATCCCCTGAGACACATCAATCTTAACACTCTCCTCAGTTGTTTTAAAAAGAGAGACAGGTCCTGACCAGGCAGCTCAGTTGTTTGGAGTGTCATCCTGATGCACCAAGGTGGCAGGTTCAATCCTCGGTCAGGGCACATACAAGAATCAACCAACGATGCATAAGTATGTGGGACAACAGATCAACGTCTCTCTCTCTCTCCCTTTCTCTTTCCAAGGTCAATTAAAAACATTTAAAAGAGAGACAGTTCTTTCTGATTAATAGCACGAAGCCCTCCATTGCTCTGTCCTTGGCTTCTGATGAGGCACCCGGCCAGGTACCCCGTTTGACCCTAACTGTAAACACGCGCTTTCCATCAGGATCGCCTGCCGTCGAGATGAAAGCTGGCTCTGGAGCCTGCTCAAGACGCGCGTCCCTTCATTTCCTTTCCCAGGAGGGTGAACCCCAGGGAACCGCTGCTCGAGTGATGTCAGCCAGGGTCCGCCTACTTCTCCCCCACCAGCGTCTTCTGTTCCCATTCCTGCCTCTGACCAACAGGGTCGCAGCATTTATTCCTGGAGGGATGGGGACAAAAACGATGATCTAGGCAGAAAATCAAGTATGTTGAAACATCTCAAATTGTCTTTCAATTCGATAGGTGGTTCTGCACAGACCTGGCTTCTGTAAACAGACGCTCAGCCTGTGTCACTCCAGGGTCACGCACTGTGGCATCATGTTCTTCTGAAGCTGTCCGTGCTCCTGGCCAGCTTTACGACGGAAGGGATTGCTGTTCACAGTCCGAATGGTGCTGACCCTCTTGGCCTGTGACCATGGAGGGAGGCGCCGACCCACAGGTACTGCCCCCTGGAAGACCTTCCCTTTATCACCACCGCCCTGAATCTGCCCAGTGCTGGTGGCCGTGGCCACCACAGGAGGCTGCAAGGTCCTGGCGGTGGCAGCTCCATGCCGCTGTCCTCAGCAAGTGCGTCACCGCTGTCACAGGGCGGGACAGGGGGCCTCGAAGGCCCATGCAAGCTGCTCAAAACAAAACAAAACATTGTCATTGTTTGCTGTATTTCAAATTATGTGCTATGTGCTATTTTTATTTTTATGTGTGTGTGTGCATAACCTCAGAATCAAGTGGCTTTTCTTTCTCCTGGATGCTGACACTTTCTCATTTTTTATCTTCACCTTCTGTTCAGCCCATGACCTCAAACAACAGGCCAAATAACTGTTCACACGTCCCCGCTGAGGAACCCGAGCTGCCCGGCGCTCGACGTATGATATTGAAAACTCAACAGGGCCAGAGCACAGGCCGAGACCATTCTTTTCCACCGAAGGTCTTTCCTGTGAGATGACGCTCCATAGGAACAGGCTCCTTCCGGTCTGCCTGGACGTTGTCTGGAAGGACGCGTGGAAACGACTCAGAGAAAGGCAGGCTGAGAGTTTGGCTCATCTTGTCGACAGAGGCCACTGGAGGTAACAGCTCAACCTCCACCGCTGCGGAGGTGTTCTCTTCCCCGGGTCCCCGCAACGGGACGCCCGCTCGCCGCCCCTGGGGGACCGTCTCCACGGTCTGCATCCTTGGATTCTGCCCAGCACTCTCCACCCGCACTCGGACAGCGGGCACTGCTCCCAGATGTCCAGCGACTGCGGCTCGGCAGGCTCCCCACTGTCCCTGCTTGGACCAGCCCCCCGCGTTTCGCCTTCCCGGCTGTTCCCGCACGTGTTCGGGAAGGAAGGGCTTCTGAGTGAGCGGGGAGGCGCTGCTGGTGTGCACCCCGTGCTCGTGTGTGCAGGGGCGTCCCGCCCCTCGGAGACCGTCGCGGGTTCACTGAAGTGTTACCGCCTACGATGAGCTGCACGGTTCCGGAAAATGGAAACTGTTTGCATCCGCAGAACCACATGGTCGAATGAGCGTAGCTGTGTTGATACTTACAGGAAGTTTTTGAGCAAAGGAATTTTTTAAAAAGAACATTTTAATTTTTTATTTATTGATTTATTTTTTCATCCTCACCCGAGGACATTTTTGCATTCATCTTCAGATAGAGTGGGAGGGAGAGAGAGAGAGAAACATCGATGTGAAAGGGACACATCGACTGGCTGCCACCACATGACCCCAACCAGGGCCGAGGACAAACTGCAACTGAGGTACATGCCCTTAGCGGGAACCAAACCCAGGTCTCTCTGGTCCGCAGGCTGCTGCTCTAACCACGGAGAAAACCGGCCAGGGCGAAAGAGAACATTTTAAAATGAAAGTCACAGTTTAGGGGGTTAATGTTCAATTTGGTTCATTTTCTTCATCCAGTACAAACAGTAAAGGTAATATATTTGTTGTGGTGGATGGACTAGAATTAACTCCATAATAATTCTGAAATGACCAATATCTTTATTTGCTTGTTTTTATCTAAGACTTTTTTAACCTAACATTTTCTTTCTTTCTTTTTTTAAATATGTTTTTATTGACTTTTTTAGAGAGAGACAGAAATATCAATGTGAGAGAGAAACAGGGATTGGCTGCCTCCTGCATGCCCCCACCAGGGATTGAGCCTGCAACCTGGGCTTGTGCCCTGACTGCGAATTGAACCGGGACCTCTCAGTCAGGGACGACATCCAACCGCTGAGCCACGCCGCCCGGCACCGACCGTTCCCCTAGTGCCCTTTCACCATTCAGCGGGACCCTCGGCGCTCAGAGCTTGCAGGGCCTGCTTCTCCAAACTCTGCGATCAACGTACTTGACTTTGTTTATCCTTGTAGTGAATACACGTGAGCTGATTGCCACACAGTTACATTCCAATGCAAAATAAGATTATTTGAACAGTAAGGTCTCTTTCTAGAACAATATATGACCCCTAGGAAGTATCACTCTGTACTTGAGTCAGACATGTCCATCAGGAGAAGGAAAGGGTGCAGGCGCAGCCGCGGCATCGGCGTGGGTCCTGGCTGTCTGGGGGTGTGCACCGTCCCCCGTCTGCACTGTCTGCACCCACAGATAGCAGGAGTCCCGCCCCACCCCTCACCCGGCCTTCATATCGATGCCTCCCAGGCTCTCTCCCTCTCCTGTCACCCCACCAAGGGGACAGCAGATAGCAGCTCCTGTGACACATTTCTCAGAGTTCGGCTGCTTCTTCTCGGATCTCAGTGCCTGGACACCTGGTCTTTCTGAGCTCAGAAAAGTGATCTCTTCCCGAACTGTAAACATTTGTTCTTTATGCCTATAGGTTGTTGATTTTGTAAAACCTTCTTTTTCCTGGCCCTCATTCCCTTGATGAGGTCTGTGCTCCGTGAGGCCGCCGACGTCCGGACAATGCAGGGGCTGGGCACTGTTCTCTGCTCAGTGGGAATGGCTGCTTAACAAGCTGTCCGACAGAGGGATGGCCCCAGGAAGCAGGTGGGGCCCAGGTCGCAGTCCCTTGAAGGAAATGTGTGTTTGACCTTCGCTGAGCTGGCAGAGTTGCCGCCTGTAGGCCTGTCCACAGCTGCCTGGGAAACGCACCCCGCTGGCCGGAGGAGAGAGCCCCGCGTGGTGGCAGGCTTCCGGGAGGGCCGCACAGCCCAGGGCAGCTAGGAAGCCCCGTTCGGTTGCAGCCTGTCGATAGGCATTCAGCGCAGGTGTAAAGGTATGTGTATTTTTACTGTGGACGGTACTTCAGCTGTCCCCCATTTCGTCCCTCACCACACTCTTGGGCGCGTCCCTGGGCTAAGCCTGCATGCATATATACTCTCCGGTTAATCTCCATCTCCCTAGCCCCTCCCTCCGAGGTCTGTCAGTCTGTTCCCTGCTTCCTATTCTCTGGACCTATTTTGTTCAGTTTCTTTTGTTCATTAGTTTCCACTGAGATCATGTGATACCTGCCTTCCTCTGATGGCTTATTTCACTCAGCAAATGCTCTCCAGGTCCCTCTGTGCTGATGCAAAGGGTCAGAGCCCTTCTTTGTCACAGCTGCTATGTTCCACGGTGTAACCTACCGCAGCAGAGTCTGTGAAGGTGAGCGTGCTGCCCAGGCCTTCAGCTCTGAGTGTCAGTGCTCTGTCTGCCTTACGAGGTCGTTGTGGGCGTTATGTGGGTGAGGGACCGGCAGGGTGGGCAGGGCTGTAACTGGAGAGGGTCGGGACCTCTGCCGGCCAGTGGAGGGTCTGCGTACTGGGTCCCACTGTGAAGAGAATCCAGGCGTGTGCTGCGGAGAGGACGCTTTTGCAAGTCGGTCCCATTTCCCCGCATTCCAGGCAAAGCCTGCAGGCGAAGACCCGCAATCAGAACTCTTCCGAGGGCTGGGGAGGAGGGATAAACCACAGAACTTACCTGCATGTGCGCATCACCAATGGACATGGACAACAAAGCGGGGATGGGGCGGGGGGATGGGGAGGAGGGTGTCAATGGGGTAAAAAAGGAGAAACATCTGTAACAAAAATAAAATTAAAAAAAAACAACAACAACAAAAATAAAACTCTTCGCGATCCTACCATCCTTAAGATTCTCGGACAGTCCAGGAAAGCATCGAGTTGAATCTTAGTGATGAAGAAAAACGGATTCTTCTCCCTGAGTCCTGCTGAAAAGTCTTTTAAACTATGTTGGTCCCTCCTCCTATCTCAGCAACTGCGTCGTGCTAACGCATACCTGAGTGCACTTGAATCTTCAGAGTTCTGGACTCTCGGTTCTGCAGGTCGTGGTGCCATCGTTAGGAATCAAATTCTTGATGAATTCATATGGGAAATAATACAATAATCAATAAATAATAATACAAGAAAAAAACTCTGTTTTTTGTACTCACAATTGTAAACCTGCTTTTGCCCCACCCTGTATAATATAATATATTAATTCCTAAAATAAAATATGATAATATTTAGGGGGTAGGGTACAATAATATGGAAGTATAATCTCATGTACAGTTGGAGAAGTAAAGTACACAGGCTATGGCTGGTGAGAAAGATGCATTTGTAATACCGGAAAGACCGACTTTCACGGAATGTGAGACACCGTGCATGAGGAGATGACAGAATTTCCTCTGTGCTCCTAAAAGAGGAACTCTTAGCTAAGTATATTGGCAATAGGTCATCGATTAAGATGCTTCCTGGTTTGAGAGAGATGGAAATATGGAAAAGCGTGCATCTCAGAACGGACGTCGCAGGACATTTTTGCATCCCAGAGAGGACGGACTGTCGTTGGTAGGAAGTCATGCCGTGGGGCTATGATGTCATCGTGGAGTGTTGGGACAGGACTGGGACCACGGGTCGGCTCCTTAGGTTCCAGCCAGGTCTGCACCTCGGTGTGTCTTTGCATCAGCTACTTCCGGACTGGGAGTGGCCGTGGGAAGAACACACCTCGATTCCGCCTGATGGCCAGACCCAGCGCCCCAGCCACTCATCAGGTTTAAGTCTGCACACTTGCTCTGGGCAATCAGGAGCATCGCGGTGTCAGACATTTCACTAAAGAATCGTGCTAAACGCAGCCGTTCGCTGCGGCTGAATCGTCCTGGCTGGGTGAACACAGGCCAGATATTCAGTTCCTCGCTGGGCCGTGGCCGGCCCTGCCCTCGCCTGCTCCCTGCGCCTCCGCCTCTCTCCTGGTCCCACATCCAAACAGTGCTCCTGCTGGTGGCTGCCAGCCCGCGGGGGCTGGGGCAACAGGAGCTGGTTTGGTGTAAGCAGGAGCGATAAGATCAAAGCCCCGACAAACACAGAGTGAGAGCGGCCTGGGGCCACGCACCGGCTCGGGTCTCCGAAGCCTTCCGCAGGGCACGGGAGAGACGGGGGACACACTGGCGAGATGCTGGTCCTCTGTGTTCGAGGGTTTAGAAGTCAGTTACGTGTGGAATCCCGTGACGGTTCCACACGTTCTGTTTCCTCAGGCGGACCTGTGGAAGCGTCAAACTGTTCCCATTGCTCTGTGAGGACCTGGCCAATGGATGTTCTAAACGCGTTTGGGGGACTTAAAAGTTAGTCATCGAAAGTGTCTACTTGAGAAAAGAAGGGTGAGCAGAACCATACACAGGCTTAAAGTTCCGCAGACCTGTTCTATTCTGAGGTTAAAAAGGCCAGAAAATAAATAATAACCCTCCCGTATTCACATTCTCTGCAGCTGAATTCTAAGAGCTGCTAATCCTTCTTCTAATTTTGTGGCCTGAACGTTTGTTTTTGAGAAGGTGTGGATATAAGTGAGTGTATTATTGTAAACATGAATTTTTCCTAACAGAATCATTCATGTAAATCTTTCTGCACCTCTGGATTTAATAAAGCAAATGATATCTATTGCTTCAAAGGGGACACTCGCTGGGGCCTCTCATTATTGGCCAGATAACCAGCAGTCCAGGGGGAGAGTTGACCTGATACTACTACATATCAAAACTTTATGCATTCTTCATTTTTTTAGGAAAATGGGTATCATGGAACTTATTAACTATGTAGTTCAAGACGTTGTGTTTATTTGTGTAAAATACAGCTTTGCTAAAATGCTCAGGAAGTTTGTACGGATTCTTGGGCTTTAATATTTGTGCCAAAACTCCCTTGGAGAACTTGCGTGAATGTTCGGACGGCTAAGAAGTTGCTCAAGGTCCCAGAGAGATTTTGAAACAGCCTGAGACACACACGTGGTGAATTATACACGAAACCACACAACCGTGGGAGACAACGGAGGCTCAGGAGTGTCCCCCTGGCGCCCGGGAACCTGGCTTTCCCAGAGCACGGCGCTCTGCGAAGGTTTCGTGGCTCCTCTCTTCAGCTCCCAAAGGAGTATACTTGGCAAAAAAAAAAAAAAAAAGGTTAAAAAACCCATGGTATAGGACCCCCATTGCTGAAAAGTAATCAATCTTATGTTTACTATTAGCTTAGGTCCCAGTTAACCAACAGGCCCTAGACTGGTCCCCGGCGTGACCAGGACTATTTCTACAGCAGAAGTTCCAGAGTCCTAAGCTCTAAGGCTGCTCCTCCCTCCTTGTGGTTTTGCTGTGACATCATCATTGACTCCCAGGTTGTGGGGTTTCTCTGGTTCTTACGTTGTGTGTGTGTGTGTGTGTGTGTGTGTGTGTGTGTGTGCCAGGAACTCTGTGGTCCTGACTCACACCCCTTCCAGGGTGACTCTGGGTCCCCCTACAGCCACAAGATGCTTGGCCACACTCTCCATGAATCAGAAAGCTAAAAACGGTTTTGGGGGAAAAATAGAGTAATGGTCATTCTTTATTCCTGAAATGTGTTATTATTAGTTTGGCCCAGTTAAATATGAAATGAAGCAGGCATATGTAAGTACTAAATGCTCTTTTTATTTATTTTATTTGCTTTCGTAGCTCACAGAAATAGTATTCCTTGAACAGTGCTTTGGACGAGGTGACTGTAAGAAGGAACCCGCCAGAACTCCAGTCCCACCGAGACTATTTCTTCGAAAACAGGGCGTCCGTGCCTGCGGCGCCCGAGCACTGGCTCTGCCCTGGTCGGCCCGCTGAGGGCCCCGGTCCTCACAGCTTCGCTGGGAAACAGGGCCTTTGGGGCGATTCCAGGGCACGGGGTTCCTCGCGAAGTTAAATTCAGGAAACGTTTCCGGAGCCTTTGCCAGGCGCACGGCGCCAGGAAACAGGCAAAGATCAAAGTAAGACCCTTTGGTCTGAGACCAACACCTCGCAAGGGAGCTCCCAGGCTCGTGCAACGTAAGCACGTAACAGAACTTCCAGGAGGTACCTTGGAGAACCGTCTGGGAGGGGAGAAAACGGGGATGGGAGGAGGAGACAAAACAGGCAGCTCTGGGTCAAGGTCTCGTAGACTCGTGAGCACGTGTGATGTTTGCTGGTCCCCTGACCGGAAACGCAGGAGAAAGGGGCAGAGAGGAGGTGGGTGCCCGGCCTGCCAGATGATGGTCAGTGGTCCCAGGGAGGAGTGGAGAGGAGACAGTGGGGGAGGGGGGGTGAACTATGACTGTCCTCAAATGACACATATGGCCATTTTCTACAAAACAGCTGTCCAAAGCAGGTGGACAAGGAGTGTTAGAGTCCTGTTGATAACTTGCTTTTTCTCTCTTTCCTCTTAAATGTCTATTTTTATGTTTGTTTGTTTTTTCAATTTACCTACTAGGGTAACAGTAAGTGGATATCTAATGTCAGCTCATACACATCTCAGGGAACTCATGCTCAAGTTTGCTGGGTGGACAGTGCCGTCAGAGCTGGGGACGCCGGGGTGGAGGAGCACACCTTCTCCAGTCTCAGGTAGAGATGGAAGCAGATAAACGTCGCATCAGATGGCGAGATTATTAGATCTGGAAGGATCTTGGAGGTGAGATCCTTCAGCCCAGATGACGAGAGCCCAGAGACTTCCTTGGACACACGGCTACCGAGACCTACACGGGGCCTTGGTGGGAGAGCTGGGTCTGGATACCCCTCGTTTCTACCCTGAAGCTCAGTGTCTCTCTTAGGCAAGGACATCCTGGCCTTTGACATCTCCCATCTACAGATAAACACCATCCTGTGTTCGTGGCTGGCAGACAGCACCGGCACCGGCAGCGGAAGCACACGGAACGAGGAATGCCAAGTGCGCCCTAGGGCAGGCGGAGTCTTAGAAAAACCTCACTTATAAAAGGGCATTTAGGTGAACGCCTGTTCTCTGACAGACTGTCCTCTGCTACAGCCCCACTCTTCAAACTGTCCTGAGAAGAGAGAGGTCAGGTGGCCTGTGCTCGGACCGTCGGCGCCCCTTGACCCTAAGCTGAAGTTCCTACAGTGCAATACTGCCTGGTTTTGAACTTTACCCCCTCTGTCCTTTTTAAAATGAAGTTTTAGGAAGAAACCACAGAATTACAACAGAGCCAGTCTTAGGTGGAAGGGTTCTGAGTTTTAGATCTTCAGTTTTTTAATTAATTAATTAATTTCCTTTTTATTGATTTTAGAGAGAGAGGAAAGGAGAGGGAGAGAGAGATGGAAACATCGCTGAGAGAGAACATTGATTGGCTGCCTCCTGCATGCCCCCACTGGGGATTGGACCCACAACCTGACCGGGAATCGAACCAAAGACCTCTGGTGCAGGGTCGATGCTCAACCACTGAGCCACACAGGCCAGGCAGATGCTCAGTTTTTTAAAAGCAACGTGACAGCCCACTGCATAGTATTCCCTTTACACCCTCAAACTTCAACACACACTTTCTTTTCTTGTCTTTTTAAATCCTCACCTGAGGATATTTTTTCATTCATTTTTTAGAGAGCATGTAAAAAAGAGGGGGAGGGGAAAGGGAAGAGAGAGAGAAACATCGACGTGCGAGAGACACATCGTCTGGCTGCCTCCTGCACGGCCTGACCAGGGCCGAACCACAACCGAGGTACATGCCCTTGACCAGAATTGAACCCATGACCCTTTGGTCCTCAGGCCAACGCTCTAACCACTGAGCACACCGGAAGGGCATATTTTCTAAGAACAATGACAACTGGGTCACAAGATAGTCTCCATAGCGGCAGGACGACCACATTCAGGGCCGTGGCCGTGGCCGTGGCCGGTGTCTCGCACCTTCTCCCCGCACTCTGGGCCCCGGCCCCACAGTCCTGGAGCAGTTCCTGTTTCCCGGGCCTTCGCGCGGATCCCGTCCGGATGCCTCTGAGTCTGTTCGGTTCCTCAGTCCCTCGGTCTTTCTTCAGCTGTGCTTGTTTGTTATGACAACCGCCACCTACTGAGGGTTCGGGCCAGGTACCTTGCAGCATGCCGCTCAGTCTGGGTCTTCACACCTTTCCTGGGAGGACTTTCAGTTTGTGCATTTGGGCTGGAACACTACAAAACGGATGCTGTAGAACCACTGAAAAAGCCTTTCTAGTTATTTTACAAAAGGAGCGGATGTACACAGTTTGGTGCAGGGGGAAGTTATTTAGAATGCAAACATTATCACAGCACAAAGGTTTTACAAACTTTATTTTTATATGCATGTGTTTTCCCCCTGTAAACACACTGACCTCACGATTAATTCATTTCCGTCACAGGCATGTTTGGCTGCCGCACTGCCGCAGGCCCAGTGAGGGATTTCATTAGTAATTCGACAAGATTCTCCCAGCCAGAGAACTAGTAATTACATATTACATGTTCATTAGATAAGAACTATTATTGTAAACCCATAAAATGTCTTTGTGCTGCTTGGCATTTACAAATTCAGTGACCTTTAAGAAAGAAAGTTACATGACCTGGACGTTTTGGCTCAGTGGTGAGAGGGTTGGCCCACACAATGATGGGTCTTGGGTTTGATTCCCAGTTAAGGGCAATAATAGAGAAACACAGTACTAGCTGATATGTATTGAGCACTTATTATGTGCCTGGCAAGCTCTTTTAATCTGTGACAGGGTCCTTTTGTAGATAGACCCTGTGTTCCCTCGCACAAGCGCAGAGAGAAGTAAGTGGCTGGCCCCCGTCATGGGACGATCCGGTCGAGACAGGGTTTGAATGCCGGCAGCTAGACCAGAGCCCAAGCCCTCCAACAGTCCTCAGTGATGCCAGCAGGGCCCTGGGCACCGCAGAGCCGCTGCCTGTGCCCCGCTGCTCCTGCTGGGTGGGCCTCCAGGAAACTGGTGGGACAGAAGGGGTGGGCTGCCAGGGGGTAGCACCCCATCAGGCTGGGCCTGGAGGCCCTCCTTAGGGAATTTGGATCTTATCCTATTCCTGATACTCAACTATGTTTTGTGTTTTATTGTTTGTTTCCATTGTTTTGAGCGACAATTTCTGAACTGGTAAATGTGAAGTCACTTTCTGGGGACCTCCGTGTCCTCGATATACTCTAAGGACTTTGGTTTAGGTGACCCCATGGATCCCTCTCAGTGCTGAGACTTGTTTCTGTGTCTCATCCCTGCAGCTCTGGTTCGTGTAGTGAAGTCCTTTCTACCGCTGAACTTGACCATGTTTCCGTAGCTCTGCCTCAGCTCGATACAGAAGCCAAGTCTGGTGAAACCTGAGTAGGCGTGATGCTCCCTGACCCATTTCCACGGAGGAGGGGCGTGCCGGCGAGGAAGGGGCGTGCCGGCGAGGAAGGGCCGAGCAGGAGGAGAGCTGCAGGTCAGGTGCACACGGGACGGGAAGGTGGAGAGCCACGTTCCACCCTCCGGCGAGGCCGGGTTCTCAGGAAGCCAGGTCACCCCGGGTGTGGGCATCCCTCATCCCTGGCCCCTCTGAGGGCGGTGAGCTCTGAGGCCATCCGGGCCTGTCTTTATCTCTCATCATCTCCCTACCACCTCTTGTTTTGCCAAAATGACATTGTCATGGGACCTGACCGGCTCTCTGCCCCGGGCTCTTGCTCCCCTCCGGGACCTTCCTGTCTTGGGGATCTTGCTGCAGAATTCTCAGGTTGGCCCTGCCCCACAGACCAGTCTCATTTCTCTGCTAAGACAGGATGGGCTTCCTACCTCTCCAGTTAGCTTGATCTCTTCCCGCTCATCGGTAAAGTGGGAACTAGTAATGTTTATTCTATTTCCTTAAATATATTAGAAATTATACCAGCTTCTGGGTTGCTACAAAATAACAGTGAAAATTTGGTGAAATTGAATGAAACCTTGCAAAAAACTTCACTGACATTTTACTTTGGGTCAAACAAAAGCTCTTTATTTATTTATTTTTTGGAATATAAGAAAATGTCCATTTTGATATTAAAAAAATGACTACTTAACCTAACCATACTCATTGAGTTTTTCAGGTGTACCAGGTCGGGAAAAGGGTTTCCCATGGTCACACAGAGTCAGAGGGAAAACGAGAGCACAGCCTGGGTTCACCCTCTTGCGTGCGGCTGTCCATTTTCCCACCACCGTTCATAGAAGAGACTGTCTTTTCTCTTGTATGTTCTTGGCTCCTTTGACATAAATTAATGGGCCATTATTTTTCTATTTATTTATTTATTTTTCAGAGAGAGAGAGAGAGAAACATTAAAGTGAGAGAGAACATCGACTGGCTGCCTCTTGCTTGCCCCCCACTGGGGATCGAGCCCACAACCCGGGCATGTGCCCTGACCAGGAATCGAACCAGGACCTCTCGGTCCCTGGGACGATGCTCAGTCCACTGAGCCACATCAGCCTGGCCCAGTATTTTACTTTTTAAAACCGGGGTTGGGTAGGGCCCCTGCGGGGTGATGAGCGACCGCGTGGAAGTGTCTTGGGGGAGCCGAGAGGTCACGGCCCCTTCTCACTGCTCAGTTACCTGGAAAGTAGGAGAAGGGATGCGGGTCGCCCTGGGAACAGGTCTCGGGAAAGGCAGGGAGGCTGAGGAAGTGGAGGGCAGGGCCTGTGACCATCATGTTCCAGAAGCGCAGCCCAAGTGCTTGGGGGCGAGGAAGTGACAGGGCTCTTGGTTCGAACAGTGTGGAAATGTCAGGTTGGTTCAACAAAGGGCCTTTTACATAGCGCCAGCTGGTGAGACCAGGAACAAGGGAGAATGATGGGCTCCTCTTGGGGGAGGGTCAGTGTTTGGCTCGGTGGCCAGCCCGTGGTTGTGGCCTGGAGCTGGGCTCATTTTCCCAGGGGTCCTCTGCTCTGGGGGCTGTGGTGAGTGTGGCAGGTGGGGTTGGCGGAGCAGTAGCCTGGCGCTGGGGGCCAGTGGTGAGTCCATGACCCCAGCTGCGGAGAGGAAGGGCATGGCCTCCTCAGGGAGAGAGCGACTGAAGCTGGCTGAGTGCCTCAGCCAGCTGGAATGTCGTCCTGTACACCGCCAGGTTGTGCGTTCATTCTCGGGCCGGGCATATACCTAGGTTGCAGGTTTGACCTCTGGTCTGGGCATACGGGAGGCAACGGATCTCTCTTCCTCTCTAAAATCAATTTAAAAAAACGTATCCATGGGTACTGGTCATGTGGCTAAGTGGTTAGAATGTCGGCCTGAAACCAGAGAGTTGTGGGTTCGACTCCAGTCAAGAACATGTGCCTTGGGTACTGTTGATCCCCGGCCCTGGTTGGGGTTGTGCAGGAGGCAACCAGTCAATGTTTCTCTCTCTCTCTCTCTCTCTCTCTCTCTCTCTCTCTCTCTCTCCCCCACTCTGTCTGGAGATAAATGAAAAAAGTATCTTCAGGTGAGGATTTAAAAAAAAGTGTTGAGCGGGCTCTGGGGGAAGGGACTGTGGGAAATTCCAGACTCACGTCCCCTTATGTTTCAGTGTCCTGTCTGTCTTTTTATAGTTGTTGATGCAAATAAAAGAATGAGCAACTCACCACTGATTCTAGAATCTTCCATTTGCAGAGAGAAGAGGGCAAACCCTGCTGACACCTATGCCATCCTACCTGGTTCGCAGGGAGCTAACCCGAGCCTTGGACGTCTTGGCTTCCAGAACGTCTTCCGACAAACCCTTCAGGCAGAACTGTCCCGCAGGCCGTGGCCCTCGGTGTCTACCTGGTCCGCCGTAAGAATTGTTCAAACATGTGACGCATGACTATTTAGTCAGGGCCACTGACCGCTTTCCCATCATTGACAGGTAAAAAAATGACCACAGCTCACTCAATAGCCATTTGGTGTGAATGAATAAAAACTATACCAATTTTTTTGGTCAGATTGGCAAAAAAATATATTTTTTGGTGAGCCTCAGAATTTTAGCAAGTCGCGTATGTGCCGTGAGCTGAAGAAGGTTGAAAATCGCTGCCCGAGCCTAGCATTCCGTACCCACTTTCTCCCGGTGCGTGTGGTTTGGCAAATTGTGTTCTGCTAGATGACAGCTGTTACTATATCATTTACCTGGCTTCATTGCATCCACCCTCTCTCTGGAACAGCCTTGATGTTCAGAAATGCTTGCTTCCTAAGCTGAGTCTCTGGGATCACGGACAATAAAACCTGGCGTGGCCATTTACCTCGCACTCAACCATCTCTTCGCGTGACCTAGGCCAACCCCGCTGCCTGTGAGTTCACCTGCTGGAGTTTCCTGATGCCTCTGCCAACCCCACTGCCTGTGTGCCATCTCTCTTGTCTTGCCTGGGGTCGGGGGTCGGCGCAATGCAATGAACTACCAGCACATGCTGGTAGGAATGAGGGGGAGCATTGCAAGAGAGCAAAATGCTCCAGATCTCTGGATGCAGTCCAATTTATTTGCAGAGTGGTTCCCCAGGTTACATGTTGATTTAGGTAAATTATTTCCTTGAGATTGGTGCCTCTGCAAACCATACAGCATAGCCTTGTCTTGTGCTTTTTAAGGGAAAGAGACTTCAAAGATAAAAAAAATAACAAACCTATCCATGCCTGGGCAAGGCCCATTATCCTCTTGGGTGGTCTTCCAACCCTTTGTCATGCAAATCTTATCTATTCACATGAAAACAAAACATTCAGTTCCAAACAGGGCGGTCTTCCTGCCCTCCAGGCACACCTCTCTGTCCACACACTTTGATCCTGGGCTGGCCAGGTTGGGAGAATGCACATCACAAGGTTACAAACTGTTCATCCACCAACCCCATCCCTAACTTGTGAGTTCACCTGCCAGTTTCCCGATGCCCAACCAGGGAGACCACAAAGAGCAGTAGTGTGCCCTGCGGCCTTGGTTACCCCTGACCTGTCTGTGAGCTGCCTTCCTGCGGCAGGAGGGCCAGGCCTAGGTCACCTGCCGCTGTGGGACAGCCGTGGCACGTGGAAATCCTGAGAGTACGTGTGCTTCTAGCCACGGACATAAAAGTTAAAGCTAAGAAACAAAAGGCGGTGAACTTGAGCTTTCCCACCCTCTGCAACCGCAGACCACGCTGTTCACCCCGAAGGTAGACGGTTCAGCTCGGTCAGCTGGCACCGAGAGGTCAGAGCCCGGCCTGCTGCTCTGCTGACCCAGCAGTCTCCTCACCCAGGCCCGAGGGCTGCAGGCCCGGCTGAAGAGCGCTCCGAGGGTTTCTTGCTGACTGCATCTGCTGTAGGGTCTTTGAAAAAGCTGGCCAGGCTTCTACTTAGAATGACGGACGGACGGACTGATGGTCTGAGCCACCTCGGGCCTGTGCTCATGGCTCGACCCCGAGAAAGAGAGGGGCTGGCGAGTTTTCTCCGGACACAACACCTTACTCCTTGTTCTTGACTGAGTTTAGAGTCATTTGGTTGTAACTGGTGTTGTTTGCTTGATTTATGGATGTTTGATTCTGTGTATTTGTTGTATAAACGATCGTTGTTTGTGGGCTCATTAAACCGCAGGCCCCAGGTTCTGTCATCTGTCATAAATGTAAACAACAAATGCAATTAGCGCGTGTCCTCCGAGGGAAGATAAAACCTGGGCCGGGGAACTGAGATTCCCCAACTAACTGTGACCCCTCTGTGTCCGGAACGCCCCCAGCACAGCCCCGGAGAGACGCAGGGTTCTCTCAGAGAAGCCGACAGTACTCACGGAGCTTCCCACCGGCTCGGAGACTGTCTGCTCAGCCCCCGGGAAACGCGGCCCCTTTCCTGAGTCAGTGCCTCAGTGTCCCGAACACAAAGCAAACAGCAGGGCCCCAGGGCCCTGCGCGCCGGCCCCTTTGTGATAACCAGCTCTCAGGGAGGGTCGGTGCTTCCACAGCGCCGGTCCTCTTCCAAGGTCAGTGCTGAAGACGCCGGTCAGTGAATTAAAAAACATAAATTGGCCCCGCCCAGTGTGGCTCAGTGGATTGAGTGTCGTCCCATGCAGGGAGAGGTCACCGGTTCAGTTCCCGGTCAGGGCGCATGCCCAGGTTGTGGGCTCAATCCCCAGTAGGGGGCGTGCAGGAGGTGGCCAGTCGGTGTTGCTCTCATTAACATTTCTTTCTCTCTCTAAAATCAATAAAAATGTATGTAAAGCCCTGGCCGGTTTGGCTACGTGGTTAGAGTGTCGGCCCTTGGACTGAAGGATTGTGGGTTTGATTGCAGTCAAGGGCACCATACCTGGGTTGCAGATTTGATCCCCCCACCCCACTTGGGGTCTTGCGGGAGGCAACCAGTTGTCTCTCACATCAATGTTTCTCTCCCTCCCTCCCTCCCTTCCACTCTTTCTAAAAACCAGTGGAAAAATATCCCAGGTGAGGATTAACAACAGAAAAACACACATAGAATCAAATTGAATTAGGGGTCAGAGGGCAAGAGTGTTGGTCCCTCCAACAGGTGTTGACTCAGAGAGCCACTCACTCCTCCCAGCCTCCCCATTTGTGGACATGGTGGGTACGGAGCCTCCAGGCCCACTGACCCCTGTTAGGAGAGCCCCCCAGCACACGTGGTGACACCTGTGCTCACCAAGGTGGGACCAGACAGCCTGGAGCACTGCCCCTGGGTGAAAGGTTAGGTAATGAACACCTCAGCCCTGAAAACCTTTGATCGCTGGCAGCATTGCCTGGGTGAATGGGCAAATATTGGGCTCAGCGCAGTGCCTGGGACGCGGTACCTAGTTATCAAATGGGTGAGTTTACTGAGCCCCGGCTTCAGGAGAAAAGTCAGCAGGCTGATTGCTGGCCTGGCGAGGAAATGGATGTGTTTTACTCACTGGTGAAACAGGCGTTCTTCCCTTTTCTAAAATCCTTGCCTCAGAATGTGTTCATTGATTTTAGAGAGAGGAACGGAGAGACAGAGAGAGAAACATGGTTGTGAAAGAGAAGCATCGATTGGCTGCTTTCCACACATGCCCGAACGGGGATTGAACCCGCAGCCTGGGTGTGTGCCCTGACTGGGGCTTGAACCCACATTTTGGTGTGTGGGACGATGCGCCAACCAACGGAGCCACCCTTCCGGGGAGAGATGTGTGTCCTTACATGGCCAGGTGTCTGACATTGCTGAACTCCCCCTTCATACCTTAGGGAAGGTTGTACTTGAGGTTCGATTTCCCAGAGACAGAAACTCTGATTAATAGTATCATAAAGAAACGAAAAGAGAGCTATCTCCTTGATTGCCTTTCCTTGCCTGATCTCTGACTCGGCTCCAGGAGGATGGAAAGCACTTCCTTCATTCATTGCTTCATCAGTCACAGTTTCAGCGTTGTGTGGGGGGCTGGCATGTTCTGGATGGCAGACGGAAAAGCGGTTCTGCTCCCCCCAAGGGGAGTCTGTGCTGCTCACGCAGGTCAGACTGAGCAGACAGAGACGTAATGCAGGCAGGGCAAGAGGAGGTTTACAGCTGTTTGCACAGAAAATAATAATACAAGAATAAACTTCGTGTTTCATGTATTCATGACCCTAAACCTACTTTTGCCCCACCCTGTGTGGGTTGTTCCAAGCGACTGTTTTTAAATGCAGATAGCTCCCTCATTGTGCAATGTGTTTCCTAAATACTGTGGCAAAGTAATTGATCACAATTGTTTTTAAGACATTAACGTATTCTTACTTGTTTTATAGAATAAACTTAGTTTGGGTAAATGTTATTCTTTGAATTTTTAATATGATTCATAAAAAATCACTTTTAGATGCTTTTATTTTTTTAATTTTTATTTATTTACATTGATCTTCAGACAGAACTGGAGGGAGAGAGGGAGGAAGAGAGAGACAGGGAGAAACATCAACATCCTAGAGACACATCGAGTGGCTGCCACACGCACAACCCCAACCGGGGCCGGGGACAAACCACAACGGAGGCATGTGCCCTTGGCTGGAATTGAACTCAGGACTCCTTGGTCCGTGGGCAACGCTCTTACCACTGAGCTATACCGGCCAGGGCACTTTTAGATGCTTTTAAAGCAAACACGACAGAATAGAGGTGTCATCTGCTTTGTGTTCAAACTCAGTAACAGCTCCTCCAAGCCACTGGCCAGGGCTGAAGAATATAATAGAACCTCTGATTTTGCAGAAAATCAACCAGTGAGCTGGGGTTTCGGATATCGAATTTGGCTATTCCAGACTCTTTTCATTTCAAATATTCAAAGCTGCCTGTGCATGTCGAAGTCCCAGCGAGAAAAGGCCGGTGCTATTTCGGGCTGTCTCTGAGGGCTAGGACGGTCCTGCAGAGAGGTAGGCACATCTGGGTGCTATTTTCAGGCTCCCAGATTCCAGAAAGACTGGGAAGCTGGAAGGAGACCAGAAGCGTGAAAGGAAATGATGAATGAGTCACGGGGCAGAGCTGGGAGTGAGTCTCCAAAGCTGAGCTGAGAACCCGGAGCGGGCAGGAGGAGAGGCCGGAAAGAGGCCTCAGCGGCATCTGCCCCTGGGGGGGGGGGGGGGGGCGGGCACCGCAAGTTTTAAATGGACCAGAGCTAAAATTATGTTAAAAGAAAAAAAAGACACTGGGCACAAGGGTTCTGGCCCCCGCCGTGCACCAGCCCTCTGACGCCTCGCGGCCTGGGCATCGGGAGTCCCGGGGCCGGAGCGGCGCTCTCCGCCTGTCTGCTCCCCGGGGGCAGAGTGAAGCGGCCCTGCACCTTCCACGCCGGGAGAACCTGCGAAAACACATTTTGTAAACTAAGAGTAGAGTCACAGGCTCTTTTAAATAGCAGTATGGTGCTCTACATTATTGTAAGGGGAATCTTTTTATTTTTAAATATCTTTTTATTAATTTTTTTAGAGAGAGAAGAAGGGAGAGAAACATTAATGTGAGGGAGAAACATTGATCGGCCGCCTCCTGCACGCCCCCCCCTGGGGATCAAGCCTGAAACCAGGGCCTGTGCCCTGGCCGGGAATCGAACCGGGACCTCTCAGTCCATGGGACACGCTCAACCACTGAGCTGCACCGGCCGGAGTAAGGGGAATCCGGAAGCTAGTTTATCAGGGAAACGTAATTTTAATTTGAAGAACGGGGACAGCAGTGAAACAGCTTGTTAGGATGCCTCTCAGCAACGGCCATTAAACAGCACTGGAGACCCCCGTGGCCCGACTGCTCTGACAGGTGTGGTGGGCACCAGCGTCCGTTCTCTGGAGCTCTCGGGCAAGGCTGGGCTGGGCCGGCACCCCTAAAAGCCCTGAGGCCGGAGCCCCTTCATGGCCTTCTTTCCTTCTTCTCAGCCCCA